GTGATCTGCAAAAGGAAGCGCAAGGACCACCAGGTGGCGCTGCTTTGCTGCTCCTGCTCCCAGGAGGTGGCTGCCCAGGATGAGTTTTAAGGTAGAGAGGGATGTCATTGCTCATCCTCCAGGTTCCAAGTAAAAACCTTCCAGCCCAGCCCTTCTCATTTTCCCTGAATCCTCAATGCTAATGAGGATTCTCTTCTCACCTTCCTGGACTTGACTTTTTAAACACTGAAAAATGGATGTGATTTCCAGTTTCAGCATGTCCTGGTTTATTGTGCTGCCAGTAAAATAAAATCAAAATACACATTGAATAAATAAGAAATAAAATAACCCATAGTGAGCAAAGGTTTACAGTGTATATTTCCGAGTCAATATCTCACCCTGTGGCCTGGGCTGGAGTACAGTGGGTGATCATAGCTCACTGCAGCCTTGAATTCATGAGCTCAAGAGATCTTCCCACCTCAGCCTCCCTAATACGTGAGAATACAAGTGCCCACTACCACTCCCAGCTAAATTTACTTATTCTTAATTTTTTTTAGAGACGAGGGACTCACTATGTTGTCCAAGCTGGTCTTCAACTTCTGATGTCAAGCAATTGTCTTGCCTTAGCATCCTGAATTGCTGGGATTACAGGTGTGAGCTGTTATGCCCGGCTTGTAATGTACTGACACTATCATGGTTTCCTTCTCCACATGTGGACACAGCAGCAGACACCCCTTGTCTCTTGGGTCAGGACACTGGGTAGAGTGGAATAGCAAGGCAACAGAGTCACTGCAGAAAGCGCCCATGTGGAAGAGGTCCAGCAGGGAGGGCCAGCTGTCCCAGGGCCACCATATTTAGGGATAACTCCTCTTTCTGGCCAGGACTATTCCTTGATTACTTTTGTAATCACTATAGTTCTGAAATCGTAGGATGATGAGACTCAAGACTGGCTAGGTGTTTTTTTTTTCTTTTTTTTAAAACCATCTCAGATTTGTTGATATTTTGAATGATTTTTTTTTGTGTCTCAATTTCCTTCAGAACTTAACTCATTCTTAACATTTCACAGTCCACTTTCAGTTAATAATGTACTAGTACTCATAAATATAGAAATCTTGCAACCATCTATCCTCTATAAAATGCCCATCTTTTATGCTATAGACATTATATGTAATATACTCTATGTAGGTTATAAGTCTCACAAGAAAAATTTTTTCTTATCTTTAAACAATTCTGTGTATATACAGGAAGTGTAAATGAGGGGAGCAAGATAGCCTTTTGTACTTAGCTCAATATTTACCATGTTTGATCATCTTCATCTTTTCTGATAATCTCATTTTCCACCTGGTATCATTTGTCTTCCTCCTGAAGAATTTTCCTTACTAATTGATACTGTGCAGATCTGCTGGTGACAAAATCTCTTAATTTTCTTTACTGAAATATCTCCTTATTTTGCCTGTCTTTGAAGGACATCTGGGCTGGATATAGAATTCTTGGTTGACCGTTTTTTCTTCCAGCACTTTAAAGATGTTATTCTACTTTCTTTTGTTTCTGTGGTTTCTAATAAGAAGTCATTGCTCAGGACAGGAGGAACAGAGAAACAAAAACTGGGAAAATAACATGGTAGACCTAAAACCTATCATATCAATGACAAAAACCTACATGAATCAACCTTCCAGTAAAGGGCAGAGATTGTGTGACTCAGTTTAAAAAAAATGCAGAACTCAACCATATGCTCTTTCCAGACGTGCATTTTCTTTCTTTTTAATTTAACTTTTATTTTTAGTTAAAGGGTTCCTATGCGGATTTGTTATATAGGTGAACTTGTGTCATGGGGTTTTGTTGTACAGATTATATCTGTATCCATTATTACCCATCCAAGTATTAAGCCTTAGTACCCATTATCTCTTTTTCCTGATCCTCTCCTTCATCCCACCCTTCACCGTCAAGTAGATCCCAGTGTGTGTTGTTCCCCTCTACGTGTCCATGTTTTCTCATTTAGCTCCCACTAATAAGTGAGAACATGTGGTATTTGGTTTTCTGTTCATGTGTTAGTTTGGTAAGGATAATGGCCTCCAACTCCATGTTCCTGCAGAGGACATGATCTCATTCATTTTTATGGCTGCATAGTATTCTATGGTGTATATGTGCCACATTTTTAAAAAAAATCCAGTGTGCCAGGCGGCTGAGGCAGGAGAATTGCCTGAACTCAGGAGGCGGAGGTTGTGGTGAGCCGAGATCAAGCCATTGCACTCCAGCCTGGGTAACAAGAGCGAAACTCTGTCTCAAAAAAAAAAAAAATCCAGTGTGCCTTGATGAACATTCAGTTTGATTCCTAGTCTTTGCTATTGTGAATAGTGCTGCAATGAACATATGCGTACATGTAAGACATGCAGTTTCTATTTATTTTATTTTACTTTAAGTTCCAGAATACATGTGCAGAATGTGCAGGTTTGTTACATACATATAGTCTGCCATGGTGGTTTGCTGCACCTATTGACTCATCCTCTAAATTTCCTCCCCTCATTCCCCACTTCCAACAGGTTCTGGTGTATGTTGTTCCCTTCCCTGTGTCCATGTGTTCTCATTGTTCAACTCCTACTTAGGAGTCAGAATGTGCAGTGTTTGGTTTTCTGTTCTCATGTTAGTTTGCTGAGGATGATGGCTTCACGCTTCATCCATGTCCCTGCAAAGGACATGAACTCATTTCTTTTTATGGCTGTGTAGTATTCCATGGTGTATATCTACCATGTTTTCTTTATCCAGTCTGTCATTGATAGGCATTTGGGTTGGTTCCATATTTTTGCTACTGTAAATAGTGCTGCAATAAACATACATGTGCATGTGTTTTTATAGTAGAATGATTTATATTCCTTTGGGTATATCCAGTAATGTAACTGCTGGGTCAAATGGTATTTCTGGTTCTAGATATTTGAGGGATGGCCACATTGTCCTCCACAATGGTTGAACTACTTTACATTCCCACATATGCTCTCATCATTCTTGTTTAAACACCTAACAGGCATCCTAATCAGTGCAACATGGCAAGAAAATGAAATAATAGACCAATAGAAGGAGTGGGCATGGTGGTTCACACTTGTAATACCTACATTTTGGGAAGCTGAGGTGGGAGGATCATTTCAGTTCAGGAGTTTGAGACCAGACTGATAGTTACACCTCATCTCTACCAATTAAAAATAATTTTAAAAGGAAAAAGATCAACAGATAGGAAAGGAAGAAATATAAGTCTTTCTTTGTCACCAGCTTTATTGCACATGCAGAAAACACTAGGGAATTCTGAAAAAGTCTCTGGAATTAATTATTGAATTTACAAATAGTTCAGAAAATATATGTGATAATCCACTTAGATGGACATGAAAAGATAGCAAACAATACTGGTCATCAAAGAAGTGAAAGTAAAAACCACAATCAGGAACCACCACACATCACCTGGAACAGGTAAAGTTAAAAAGACATATGATAATCTAAATACTGGCAAGAATATGGAACAAGTACCAATGTCTGATATTGCTGGTTCGAACCATATTTAATACATTTTGTGGGACTGCCTAAGAACTAATGGCCTCCTTAAGATTAAAAAAAAGGGTTACAAAAATGTTAAACGTCCAAATAAAATATGCACACTGCTTAGATGTGCATAATGAAAACAGTCAGTGATGGAGCCTCAGTGAAGAGCATTGGGACTGCTTAGAGCAGTTGCAACTCTGAGGTGATGACTACAGGCTCCCGGTTCAATACACAGTAACAAACCTGCTTCTTTGTACACCGATGTTCTGGTATGGGGACTGGCATGTCTGCCCGGGGGCTCTTGGCCAGCAAGAGGGTCCCAAACTGGAAAGGGGGGGTGCGCGGAAGAGAAGAAGAAAGAACAGATGGGGGTCTGGAGGGTTGAGAAATCAGATGCTTCACCAACAGCTTTATTGAACTCAGGGCCTGCTTATATACATTACAAGTAGAAGTGTTTACCTCATGGGATCAGTGTTTCGTGGGAACAGAAAGTTTGACAATACAATCACAAGTCACCATATTTTGGATAAATATGCTGGGAACAGGGAGATAGATAATCAGGTTAAAGCGGGGGGTGCAGTTATCAGTCACAAGAGTCCAGGTGCAATATCTAAGTTTAAAAGAAACTATTTACCTAGGGCAGGAGTTTCACAAGAAAATCACGGGCTACATTATAAATGATTAAGTCACAAGCAGTATTGTAAATACCACATCAAGGGTCCAGGTGCAGGAAAGACATAAACAAAGCAATTTTTACTACAGTTTGCTTTGAAGATTTAAGTCATAACTTTAAGAAGAAACTATAATGAATAGAGAACCAAAAGTAGACACCATGAGAACCAAAAGTGGACACCATGAGAACGAAAAGTGGACACCGTGAGAACCAAAAGTAGACACCATGAGAACCAAAAGTGGACACCGTGAGAACCAAAAGTGGACACCGTGCCTCCCATCACCTCAGCACAATAGAGTAATAACTCATGTTATTTTTTGTATATCACATAAGCTTTCTTGCAGCTCTCCTTCCCCATAGCTCGACTACCTCCAACAGGGGGCCCGTGTCCGGGATCAAGCTCAACCATATGGTGTGACCCACTACTTGGGAGTCTCACATGGGAGCGTTCCCACATTCTGGACTCACACGGGGAAACTCAGACTAGGGAATGAAGATAATTTTAAATGTAACAACTCAGAGTCACAGATCCATAGTCTGGGAAAGTAAAACTTAGGAGCTTTGAGAGTTTAATTGTAGCTCTATTTTGACCCAGGTCTTTTACAGATTGGAATTCTAACCATTCAGGGATTACCGATATTGTGCTACCTAATGTATTAATAAACAAAAAGGAAACTGGACTCTATGAGAATCTCTATCCGGTGCCTTCAGACAAAAGTTCACCAGGTTTAAAGAGAAAACCCGCATCTCTACACCTCCATTCCCAGGGGTGAGTTTCCTTGTACAAAAGCCCAAAGGGAGAGGTAAGGAGTGGGAGGCAGGCAGTCCAGTTAATGGACGGTGATTCCAGGATGAGAAGTGAAAGGGAAGGGGCTGGGCGCAGCCGGGAAGTCTCTCCCTGGTTTCCACAGACAGATCCTTGGCTAGGACTGGGGCAGTCAGTGTGACAAAGAGGCCTGGTGTAGAAGAGGGCTCAGGACAAAGTCTCAGGTCCCGGGCGTGGCTCTCAGGGTCTCAGGCACCAAAAGCCGTGTCTGCATTGGGGACGCGCAGCGTTGGGGATTCCTCACTCCCCTGAGTTTCACTTCTCCCAACCTGTGTCGGGTGTTTCTGGATACTTAAGACGCGGACCCAGTTCCCACTTCCACTGGGCGTGGGGTTTCTAGAGAAGCCAATCAGCATCGCCGCGGTCCCCCTTCTAAAGTCCCTACTCACTCACCTGGACTCAGATTCTTCCCAGACGCCGAAGATGGCGGTCGTGACGCCCCGAACCCTCCTCCTGCTGCTCTCCGGGGCCCTTGCCCTGACCGAGACCTGGGCGGGTGAGTGCGGCGTCGGGAGGGAAACCGCCTCCGCGGGGAGGAGCCAGGGGCCCGCCTGGCTGGGTCGCTGGACCCCGGGAGCCGCGCCGGGCAGAGGGTCGGGCGGGTCTCAGCCCCTACTCGCCCCCAGGCTCCCACTCCTTGAGGTATTTTGACACCGCCGTGTCCCGGCCGGGCCGCGGGGAGCCCCGCTTCATCGCCGTGGGCTACGTGGACGACACGCAGTTCGTGCGGTTCGACAGCGACGCCGCGAGTGGGAGAGGGGAGCCGCGGGCGCCGTGGATGGAGCAGGAGGGGTCGGAGTATTGGGAGGAGCGGACTATGAGCTACAAGGCGCAGGCACAGAGTTCCCGACTGTGCCTGAAGCTCCTGCCCGGCCACTACAACCAGAGCGAGGCCAGTGAGTGATCCCGGCCCGGGCGCAGGTCACGACCCCTCCCCACTGCCCACGGACGGCCCGGGTCTCCCCGAGTCTTCGGGTCCAAGGTCCACCCCGAGGCTGCGGGACCCGCCCAGACCCTCAACGGGAGAGAGCCCCTGCATTTTCAATTTAGGTCAAAATCCCCGCGGGTTGGTTGTGGGGTGGGGGCTCGGGGGCGGGGCTGACCGCGGGGGCGGGGCCAGGGTCTCACACCTACCAGAGAATGTATGGCTGCGAAGTGGGGCCAGATGGGCGCTTCCTGCGAGGGTTTTACCAGTCAGCCTACGACGGCAAGGATTACCTCGCCCTGAACGAGGACCTGAGCTCCTTAATCGCCGCGGATACGGAGGCTCAGATCACCCAGCGCAAGTGGGAGGCGGCCAATCTGGCGGAGGGGTGGAGAGCCTACCTGGAGGGCAAGTGCGTGGAGTTGCTCCGCAGATACCTGGAGAACGGGAAGGAGACGCTGCAGCGCGCGGGTACCAGGGGCAGTGGGGAGCCTTCCGCATCTCCTATAGATCTCCCTGGCTGGCCTCCCACGAGTAGGGGAGGAAAATGGGATCAGCGCTAGAATATACCCCTCCCTTGAATAAAGAACGGCTTGAGCTTTCCTGAGTTTCCTCTGAGGGCTGTCTGCTCTCTGGGACAATTAAAGGATGACCTCTGAGGAAATGGAGGGGAAGACAGTCCCTGGAATACTGATCAGGGATCCACTTTGACCCCTGCAGCGGCCTTGGGCGCCGTGACTTTTTCAGCCCTTGTTCTCTGCCTCACAGTCAGTGTGTTTGAAGGTCTGATTCCAACTTTTCCGAGTCCCCTGACCTCTTTTCAGGTCAGGACCAGAAGTCGCTGTTCTCCCTCAGAGACTAGAACTTTCCAAGGAATAGGAGATTATCCTATGGGCCTGTGTCCAGGCTGGTGTCTGGGTTCTGTGCTCCCTTCCCCATCCCAGGTGTCCTGTCCGTTCTCAGAATGGTCACATGGGTGCTGCTGGGATATCCCATGAGAGATGCAAAGTGCCTGAATTTTCTGACTCTTCCCCTCAGATCCCCCAAAGACACGTGTGACCCATCACCCCATCTCTGATCATGAGGCCACCCTGAGGTGCTGGGCCCTGGGCTTCTACCCTGCGGAGATCACACTGACCTGGCAGCAGGATGGGGAGGACCAAACTCAGGACACTGAGCTTGTGGAGACCAGGCCATCAGGGGATGGAACCTTCCAGAAGTGGGCAGCTGTGGTGGTGCCTTCTGGAGAGGAGCAGAGATACACGTGCCATGTGCAGCACAAGGGACTGCCAGAGCCCCTCACCCTCAGATGGGGTAAGGAGAGGGATGGGTAAGGAGGGGATGGGGGGTCATGTTTCTTCTCAGGGAAAGCAGAAGCCCTTCTGGAGCCCTTCAGCAGGGTCAGGGCTGAGGCCTGGGGTCAGGGTCTCTCACCTTCCCCCTTTTCCCAGAGCCGTCTTCCCAGCCCACCATCCCCATCGTGGGCATCGTTGCTGGCCTCATTCTCCTTGGAGCTGTGGTCACTGGAGCTGTGGTCGCTGCTGTGATGTGGAGGAGGAAGAGCTCAGGTAGGGAAGGGGTGAGGAGTGGGGCCTGCATTTTTTTGTCTAACTAGGTATTTCAAGCTCCAGGTAGAAGTGTTCCTTGCCTCATTACTGGGAAGCACCATCCACACATGGGCTGACTTAGCTTGGGGCCCTGTGTGCCAGTACTTACTCTTTTGTGGAGCACATGTGACAACGAAGGACAGATGTATCACCTTGATGATTGTGGTGATGGGGTCCTGATTCCAGCATTCACGAGTCAGGGGAAGGTCCCTGCTAAGGACAGACCTTAGGAGGGCGGTTGGTCCAGGACCCACACCTGCTTTCCTGGTGTTTCCTGATCCTGCCCTGGTCCGTAGTCATAGTTCTGGAAACTTCTCTTGGGTCCCAGACTAGGAGGTTTCTCTAAGATCTCATGGCCCTGCCTCCTCCCTGTCTCCTCACAGGACATTTTTTCCCCACAGGTGGAAAAGGAGGGAGCTACTCTCAGGCTGCATGTAAGTGGTGGGGTTGGGAGTGTGGAGGAGCTCACCCACCCCATAATTCCTCCTGTCCCACATCTCCTGCGGACTCTGATCAGGTCCTGTTTTTGTTCCACCCCAGGCAGCGAAAGTGCCCGGGGCTCTGATGTGTCTCTCACAGCTTGTAAAGGTGAGGTTCTGGAGGTCTGAAGTGGGTATGGGGTAAAGCAGAGGGGAAAGGACTGGGTAATGGTGTTTCTTTGATTGGGACATTTTGAGTGTCTGGTGGGCTGTTCAGAGTGTCATCACTTACCATGACTGACCTGAAAATTCTTCATGACTTGTTTTCTGTAGCGTGAGACAGCTGCCTTGTGTGGGACTGAGATGCAGGATTTCTTCACGACTCCCCTTTGTGACTTCAAGAGCCTCTGGCATCTCTTTCTGCAAAGGCATCTGAATGTGTCTGTGTCCCTGTTAGCATAGTGTGAGGAGGTGGAGAGACAGCCCACCCCTGTGTCCACCCTGACCCCTGTCCCCATGCTGATCTGTGTTCCCTCCCCAGTCATCTTTCCTGTTCCAGAGAGGTGGGGCTGGGTGTCTCCATGTATGTCTCAACTTCATGCTGCACTGAGCTGCAACCACTTACTTCCCTACGGAAAATAAGAATCTGAATATAAATGTGTTTTCTCAAATATTTTCCATGAGAGGTTGATGGGTTAATTTAATAAGTCAATTCCTAAAATTTGACAGAGGAAATAAAGACCCGAGAACCTTCCAGAATCCGCATGTTCGCTGTGCTTAGTCTGTTGCAGGTGGGGATGGAGAAGGCTGTGAGGAGCCGAGTGTGGATGGGACCTGTGCCCAGTTGCTTGCTGTTGAGTCCATCATGGGCTTTATGTGGCCACTCCTCAGATGGGTCAGCTTCACTGCTCCATTGTCCTTGTTCCTTCAGTGGAAACTTGTCCCACAGGAGCTGTGACCACAGAGGCTCACACATCTCCCAGCATGGCCCCTGCACACGGGAGTCTCTGTGTTTCTGAGACAAATTTTCAGACCCATTCAGCTCCTGGCCTCCTTCTAGGGCTACTCTTCTGCTCTGCTCTCCTGCCCTCTCTCCCTGCCCTGGTTCCAGTGATCTTGGTGCTGGCTCCAATCCCAACTCATGAATCTATAAAGCAGAGTCTAATTTAGACTTATATCTGTTTGTGAATTGGACTCATCAAGGACTATTGTTTCTTGAAAACAGAAGTCTGATTGTATGTTGTAGTGTGTAGGGGTGTGTGTGGGTTGGGAGTAGGTGTGGGAAGAGGGATGGGGGAGGAAGGACACACTAGCAGCCCTGCTGAGAAAAGCACAGGCAGCCTCGATGTCAGTGTGAGGGGTCCTTGTGCCGTAGCTGCCAAGAAACAGTACTTGGCCTGAGTCTATGTTAATAAGGATACTGCCTTTGCTCTACAGTGACCTTCGTTGTCAGCCAGACACAGGACAGAGTGGTTCTGCATATGGGGAACATCACTGAAGTAAAATCAAAAAAGATCTCCAACCTTGGGGTGCATGTGTTCCAGTGGGAAGAGGCAGATGATAGCTGCACTATCACCAGAGCAAGGAAGGAAAGTGTTAGAAGGTGGGAAGTGCTGTGAGGCAGGTGATCCAGGGCATGGGCAGTGGGGACAGGTAAGGTGGCTGTTGTGCTGGGGTGGTCAGTGTGTGCCACATTGCAAAGGTGACCTTTGAGAAAAGAGTTGAGGATATCTCAACTCTATCCCACAAGGATATCTGGGGAAGTTCTTTCCAGGCAGGGGAACCTCCAGTGCAAATGCACTAGGGCAGGAAGGTGTCTGTGTTCCCAGGAGAGGAAGGAACCCAGGAGGGCTGGAGAGAGAGATCTGAGGTGAGGTCAAAGGTACAGCCAGGGCAGGTGGACCTGGAGGGTGTGGAGAAGCATCTGACTTTTGCTCTGAGTAAGATGTGGGGTAGTGGACAGTTTTGAGCAGAAGAGAGACATGGTACAACTTCTCTTTTAAAAGAATCTCTGACTGCTGTGCTGAGAACAGAACTGAGAGGTGAGGGACATGGGAAGCAGAAGGAAAAATAGTGGGAAATGAGTTCAGTATTTCAGGCTGGAGATGTCATTACCTTGACTGGGGTGTGAGTAGGGGGAATAGTGGGACATGAGGGGATTCTGGATGCATTTTAAGATGGATTCACAGCATTTGCCAATGGATTGTATCTGTGGTGTGAGAAGGAAGAATCAAGGACACCCATAGTTGTAAAATGAGTGAGTAGAAGGAAGGATGAAGCTGCTGTTAGTGGAGATGGGAAGACTCTGGCAGGAGCATACTGAGGAGGGGGCATCCCAGGCACTCAGTGGAGGAGATGTCTATTAGAAATGCAGGTGAGGGAGCTGGGGTGGCAGTTGGACAGAAAACTCCAGAGTTCAGGGGAAATGAGAAATAGACTGGGCTGGAGAAATAGATTTAGGAGGTCACACCATATAAACACTACTTAAAACCTCAAGCATGGATGAGGGCACCAAGGGAGTGACTGGATATAGAAGAGAATGAGCGCAAGACTGAATCCTGGACCTCCAGTTCTAAGGGATCTGATCAGACCATACCGAGAGCAGACTGCACAGTTCTGACCCCATGCCTAGAGGACACTTAGACAAGGACCGCCCACGTGCACAGGAATCACCTGGACGTGTTGCTGAGATCCAAGAAGTCCAGGGTTGAGCAAGAGATTCTGGATTTATGACAAGCCTGGAGCCTATGTTTCTTGATATGTCTCCATATCAAGAACACCAGGATCCCACATGTCTGTGCATAAGCCTGCCTGTAGTGCTTGTTATATAAGTGATGTCTTGGTCATGTGCATAATACTCTGAAACAGGCATTCTGGGAAGTGGCCTGAGTTTTTTTCTAAGCCCCTGCCCTCCCTGTTGGGAGCCAGATTGGGAACCACTGAGATCAGAGATCAGAGTGCCCAGGATGGGTGGATGGGTGGGTTTTCAAACCTTGTTTAAAAGAAGATTTTTCTCTCAGAAATAAAAGGCAGGATGTATATTAACAGTTATGAGATGTGATCTTCCCTGCTGATCTCTCCACCAATGAGTAGTGGCCAGGTAGACAATTCAGGATGTGGCGCTCACACAAAGAACACGTCTGAATGCTGCTCTCTGGGCCACAGACGGATTTCTCACTCACTTCTTGGAGCAAACTATGAAAAACAAATTTCTCTAATTTACACATAAAGTAGTAGTATGTGGTATTCGGGGCTAATTTTATTGTGGAGAAGGCCACAGAAGAAGGCTGGAAATTACACAACCAGGAACAGAACCCACAACCCACCCAGGATCAGGTCTCTCCTAGGAACAACTGCTCCTGCTGCTGAGCACAGAGGCCACTGCTCACACCTCTGACACCCTGGTGCTGGACACAATGGAATAAAACTAGACGTGTACACCAAGAAAAACATTGGCAACTAGACAAATACATGGAAACTAACAACATGCTCCTGAATAAACATTGAGTCAACAGAGAAATTCAGATGGAAATAAAAAAGTTTGTTGGAACAAATGAAAATGGAAACACAACATATCAAAAGCTGTGGGATACAGTTAAACAGGCCAAAGGGGAATTTTACAGCAGAAAATGCCTACTTAAAAAGAGTAGGAACATTACAAATTAACAATATGACAATGAACCTTAAGGAACTAGAAAAGCAACAAACTACATCCAAAATCAGCAGAAAAGAAATAATAAAGATCAGAGCAGAACTAAATAAAGACTTAAAAACCATGTAAGTGATCAATAAAGGGAAAAGTTTGTTCTTCAAAAACATAAACTGAATTGATAAGCCACTAGCTAGACAAACCTAGGAAAACAGAGAGTAGACTCAAACAAAATCAGAAAAGAGAAACATTACAAGTGACACTGCAAAAATATGAAAGACCATCAGAGACTATTATGAACAATTCTGTACTGACAAACTGGAAAACCTGGAGGAAATGGATAAATTCCTAGAAACATACAACCTATCAAGATTAAATTAGGAAGAATAGAAAACCTGAAGCCCTAACATACATAAACCATTCTCGCAGTGGGTCCAGTGGGCCCCTGACCCACCCTGTGATTATTTCCTCAGTGCTGGCTTGCCTAATTGAAATAGACTTTACTCAGCAGTGAGCAGAATCTACTGATTAGTTTCTTTTTTTACCGTTTGTTTTCAGTTCAGGGGCACAAATGCAGGCTGTTTTATAGGTAAACTGGTGTCATGGGAGTTTGTAGCACAGATTATTGAACCACACAGTTTTAAACCTAGTACCCATTAGTTATTTTTCCTGATCCTCTCCCTCCTCCCACCCTCAACCTTCTGAAAGGCTCCAGTGTGTGTTGTTCCCTTCTCTGTCTCTATGCATTCTCATCATTTAGCTCCTACTTACAAGTGAGAACATGCAGTATTTGCTTTTCTATTCCTGCATTAGTTTGCTAATGACTTCCGGCTTTATCCATGCTCCTGCAAAGGACATGATCTCATTTATTTTTTTGGCTACATAGTATCCTATGTCATATATGTATCACATTTTCTTTATCCAGTCCATCATTGATGGGCATTTAACTTGATTCCATGTCTTTGCTATTGTAAAGAGTGCTGCAATGAACATGTGTGTGTGTGTCTTTATAATAGAATGATTTCTATTTCTTTGGGTGTAATGGTATTTTTGTCTTTAGGTCTTTAAGAAACCACGCTCTCTTCCACAATGGCTGACCTGATTTGCACTCCCACCAACAGTGCATAAGTGTTTCTTTTTCTCCACAACCTTGCCAGCATCTGTTATTTTTTGACTTTTTAATAATCACCATTCTGCTTGGTGTGAAATGGTATCTCATTGTGGTTTTGATTTGCATCTTTCTAATGATCAGTGATGTTGAGCTTTTTTTCATATGTTTGTTGGCTGTTTGTGTGTCTTCTTTTTAGAAGTGTCTGTTCATACACTTTGCCCACTTAAAAAAATAATTTATTTATTTTACTTTAGGTGCATACTCTATCTGGCATTTCTCCCCATGTTATCCCTCCTCACCCTCCCCATCCCCCATTGTCTCTCCCCTACCCCCCAAAACTGTCCCCTGTGTGTGATGCTCCTCTCCCTGAGTTCACATGTTCTCATTGTTCAACACCCACCTATGAGTGAGAACATACGGTCCTTGGATTTCTGTTCTTAGGTCAGTTTGCTGAGAATGATGGTTCCCAGATTCATCCAAGTCCCTACAAAAGACTCGAACTCATCGTTTTTTATGGCTCCATAGTATTCCATGGTGTATATGTACCACATTTTCTTTGTCCAGTCTACCATTGATGGGCATTTGGGTTGGTTCCAGGTCTTTGCTATTGTACACAGGGCTGCAATGAACATACATGTGCATGTGTCTTTATAACAGAAAGATTTGTTGTTCTTTGGGTATATACCCAATACAAAAGAAACCATCATTAGAGTGAATCAGCAACCAACAGAATAGGAAAAAATTTTTGCAATGTTCCCATCTGACAAAGGGCTAATATCCAGAATCTACAAAGAACTAAAACAGTTATGAAAGAAAAAAAAGCAAATAAGCCCATTCAAAAGTGGACAAAGGATATGAACAGACACTTTTCAAAAGAAGACATATATGAGGCCAACAATCATATGAAAAAATGCTCATCATCACTGGTAATTAGGGAAATGCAAATCAAAGCCACACTGAGATATCATCTCACGCCAGTTAGAATGGCGATCATTAAAAAATCTGGAGACAACAGATGCTGGAGAGGATGTGGAAAAATAGGAACACTCTTACATAGCTGGTGAGAGTGTAAATTAGTTCAACCATTGTGGAAGACAGTGTGGCGATTTCTCAAGGATCTAGAAATAGAAATTCCATTTGCCCACTTTTTAATGTGGTTGTTTTGTTTTTTCTTGTAAATTTGTTTAAGTCCTTTATAGATGCTAGATATTAGACCTTTGTCAGATGCATAGTTTGCAAAAATATTTTCCCCAACTGTAGGTTGCCTGTTTTCTCTGTTGATAATTTCTTTTGCTGTGCAGAAACTTTTTAGAATTAGATCCCATTTGTCAATATTTGCTTTTTTTTTTTTGCATTTCAGCAACTTTATTGAAAGGTATATCCCTTAGTACAAAAACATAATGGTAGTTGGTTAGTTTACTTCTGCCAACTCAAAATTAACAATGACATATTCAAAATATTGAAATTTATCAGCTTTTTGGGAAAACTAAAATGTTACCCATAAAACATGGTTTATAAAAGTTAAGAATGAGACTGCGGTTCTTTGGTTTTTCATTGTGTATTGATCCATAATGTGATGTCAAATTGGTTACAGTCATTCTGGGTGGACTCAGGCTATACATTGCACTGAGTAACTGTTTACAACACTTTAACACTGCACTTCTTACATTCACTGACTAACATGGAGAATCCTAACTACCTCAGCAGCTTCATTTATAGTTATGAAGGTGTCTACTTGCTTTCTTAAGACTTTGTTTTAGCACAGTAAGGGCATCAATGGAAGTATATTCTCTTTTTATACTGCCATCACTTTTTTTAATTGCATTTTAGGTTTTGGGGTACATGTGCAGAACATGCAAGATAGTTGCATAGGTACACGCATGGCAGTGTGTTTTGCTGCCTTCCTCCCCTTCACCCCCATTTGGCATTTCTCCCCATGCTATCCATCACTTCTAATTTAAAAACAGTCTAGTTAAAAAACTTCTGTAGTGTTGAATCTAGCCTGAACTTACCTTAGTGTGGGAAAGCAAATTTTCAAAGTGATAATTCATTCTGAGTTACTAATACAATAGAAACAAATTTTTTTGATGGGATTCAGTTTGAGGCAGTAGGTTCTGTATAAAAATTTTATCGTAGATACAAATGTCACCTGTTTTCTAGAAAAAAATATTAAAGATAACATTATGGATATGCCAAACTTTCTAGGTCTGTATTTTTCTTTATATAAAGTGCCCTCAAATTTAACTGTAACTCCCATATAGCAATAAAGTCCACATCTCTGGATTATCCATTACTTGCATTATGGGGTGTGTTTACACTGCCTAGAATGTTAACCCTTATTATGCCTTAAACATGCACCTGTGAAATGTTGCTTTTGATGTAAACATCATAACTTAAAATTTAATACTTAAATTAAGTAGGAGTAGGATTAGAATAATGAGAGTGATTGAAGCTATGGGAAGACTGATAGTTGATAGTACTAGTGTGGCTCCTCTGATACCATTTTCAATATCACCCAAAGATATTGATCCAATATTTAAAGTTAGATCGATGATAGAAATGAAAATTCACAGTTTACCTTCTCAGGCTTGTCATTAGCATTTCACATTTAGGCTTTTAGCTTTGATTTGAATGTTCCACAGATGAATTCAAATCTAAACATAATTCCACTACAGCAGAACATTAATTAGGCAGTTTTCTGAAGTATGAGACCATCATGCTTATCTTGTAATGTTTTGAGGCTTCATACCTTAAATCCATTGTAACAGTATGGAATCCATAGAGCAAGGTTGTGGAGAAAGGCTTCAGAGAAGTTTTTTTGTGCTGTAATATTCCAATTAAGGAATCATTTCAGGAATTGTTAGAAGGTAAGTTATTCTGTTGTAACTATGCTTCAATTACCATGCAGTACACTCAGAAACAATCCATTTTAACTTCTCAACATTTGGTTTGGAACACTTGTTTAATGAATATTCAGTTAAACACTTGGATACAAGCTCCTGCCAGAAGGGCAAATCTCTGCCATTTATGTTGGAATGTTTCTGGAGACATTCTACTCCTTCTGTTAACTCCACACACTCCTGTGCTTGGATCTCTAATACAGTGATAGGCAATGCCAACAGAGAAGGCTTTGCTTTAGAAAATACAATCCTGCAATGATATACCTTAAGTTGAGCTTCTAGTCTTTCAAAACTAATGCTACTTCTCCTTTCAAATGGCAAATTCTCCTGAAGGAGTGAGTAATACATTTGGAGAAAATGAATGGCAGTAGTAGCTTTGACTTTCCAACATACCTTCTCCAATACAATCTTTTCCATTCTCATCAAGTCTGAAACCGTAAACCTGTATTGACTTATTCAAATCAAGTCAGTCACCAATGGGACATTCCTTTCCTCTTCGATTGATTTGAAAGCCAAATGGAAGCAGCTCAGTTCAAGGTGCTTGGGCTGTACCTTCAGTTTAGACAGGATCTGTCCAGTAAATCCACAGCTAGAGAATGTCTCTGTGTTGAAGCCAAAGAACTGAGTTAGACTAAGAGATGTTTTACTTCAAAGTCCCTTTGTCTTGCAGTCATTCTGAGGCCACTGTCGTGTGCATACTCAGTTAGTCCAAGCCACAGACCTCTGGCCGACATCTACACTCCTGTTCCAAAAGGGCATTCAGCTGGTGTAGCAGTTTCTGAGAGTCAGTTGTTGTCAGTACCTCAATCATCTTGAGAGTGACTGCAACTCCTCAGTGGTAACCACCTTCCCTGGGCCTGCTCATCTCACCCACAATATCAGATCTGAGATGCCTAGGAGGAGAGGGGACTTGCAAGAGGCCTGGGGAGGTGGACTGTCCTGGGTGGAGGACTTGGCAGTGCCCCTGAGATGACTCGGCCCTGATCAGGGTCAGCTCAAAGTCCCAATATTTACTTTTGTTGCACTTGCTTTTGGCATCTTTGTCATGAAACCATTGCTAATGCCTATATCCTGAATGGTATTGCCTAGGTTGTGTTCCAGGGTTTTTATAGTTTTGGGTTTTACATTCAAGTTTTTAAATCCGTCTTGAGGTGATTTTGTATATGGTGTAACAAAGGGGTTCAGTTTAAATCTTTCACATATGGCTAGCCAGTGTTCTCAGCACCATTTATAAACAGGGAATTCTTTCCCCATTGCTTGTTTTTGTCAGGTTTGCCGAGACCAGCTCAGTTGTGGAGACCCCAACCCAGGTGGTGCTGAAGGAATTAAGAAGCAGACACAGAGATAGAGAGCAAAAGGTATGGGACGGATAGGGGGCCTCAGCATTCCCAGCTGAGGGACTCCAACAGAGACTGACCCACACATTTATTGACAACAAGCAAGTGATAATTTCATTTAACTAAAAGCATTCTTCACAGAGAACAAAACATTCTTTAGTGGCAAGAAACAGACTCTGGCAAGCTTATCTACTGCAGCTGGAATATGTGTAAGGCACATGTGGCTCATGCTGCAGAAGTGCCTCCCTCACACACCAGCAGTCTTCTGTCCAAGAGCCATTAGGTCTTTCTTTCAGGCTCCAATAAACCAACAACCTCTAGCAATGTGCATCACTGCCATCACGGGGATGTCACAGTGCTATAGATATTCTGTTTATGGCCAGTTTCTTTAAGGCCTGTTTATGCCAGGCTTAGGGCCTGCTCTCAAATGCTCCCAACATGTCTCCCCTTTCGATTTTGGAAAGCAGTAAGAGCAAGGGCAGCTTTGTCACGGTGGGCTACTTGTCACGGGATTTGGAATCCTTGACTGCAGACTATACAAAGACAGAAAATATGGATTAGAAACACAATTATCTTCAAAATCACAGAACCAGGGGTTCGCTCAAGATGGCGTGGTAAGAACAACTCAAGATCGCAGCTGTCAGTGAATGCGCAGAGGCCGATGCAGGTGTACCCCAGACAAGCAAGGCCTGGAGTGGACCTCAGCAGTCGTACAGCGGAGGGGCTAGACGGGTAGAAGGAAAACCAAGTAACAGAAATAATTCATCATCAACAATCTGAGCGTCCACTCAGAGACCCAATCGAAAAGTCAGCAACTACTCAGATGACAGGTGGATAAATCCACAAAGATGGGAAGAAACCAGCACAAAAAGGAGGAAAACACCCAAAACCAGAACACCTCACCTCCTGAAAAGGACCAAAACTCCTCACCAGCAAGGGAACAAAGCTGGACGAAGAATGACTGTGACGAAATGACAGAATTAGACTTCAGAAGGTGGGTAATGAGAAACTTCTGTGAGCTAAAAGAACATGTTCTAAATCAATGCAAAGAAACCAAGAACCTTGAAAAAAGATTCAAAAAAAGATTTGAGGAAATGATAACAAGAATGAATAACTTAGAGAGGAATATGAATGAATTGAAGGAGTTGAAAAATACAACACGAGAACTTCGTGAAGCATGCACAAGTTTCAGCAGCCGAATTGACCAAGCTGAAGAAAGAATATCAGAAGTCGAAGATCAACTCAATGAAATAAAATGAGAAACCAAGATTAGAGAAAAAAACGCAAAAAGGAATGAGCAAAGTCTCCAAAAAATGTGGGACTATGTGAAGAGAACTAACTTACGTTTGATAGGTGTACCAGAATGTGACGAAGAGAATGAATTCAAGCTGGAAAATACTCTTCAGGATATTATCCAGGAAAATTTCCCCAACCTAGCAAGGCAGGCCAACACTCAAATCCAGGAAATAGAGAACACCACAAAGATCCTCTGCAAGAAGAGCAACCCCAAGGCACATAATTATCAGATTCACCAGGGTTGAAATGAAAAAGAAAATGCTTAGGGCAGCCAGAGAGAAAGGTTGGGTCACCCACAAAGGGAAGCCCATCAGACTCACAGCAGATCTCTCGGCAGAAACTCTACAAGCCAGAAGAGAGTGGGGGCCAATATTCAACATCCTTAAAAAAAAGAACTTTCAACACAGAATTTCATATCCAGCCAAACTGAGCTTCATAAGTGAAGGAAAAATAAAATTTTTTGTGAACAAGCAGAGATTTTGTCACCACCAAGCCTGCTTTACAAGAGCTCCTGAAAGAGGCACTACACATAGAAAGGAACAACCAGTACCAGCCATTCCAAAATCACACTAAATGCTAAAGAGCATCAACAAAATGAAGAATCTACATCAACTAACAGGCAAAACAGCAAGCTAGCATCAAAATGGCAGGATCAAATTCACACATAACAATATTAACCCTAAATGTGAATGGGCTAAATGCACCAATCAAAAGACACAGACTGGCAAATTGGATAAAAAACCAAAACCCATCGGTGTGCTGTATCCAAGAAACCCATCTCACATGCAAGGATACACAAAGGCTCAAAATAAAGGGATGGAGGAAGATTTACCAAGCAAATGGAGAGCAAAAAAAAAAGCAGGAGTTGCAATTCTCATCTCTGTTAAAATAGACTTTAAAGCAACAGAGATCAAAAGAGACAAAGAAGGTCATTACATAATGGTAAAAGGATTGATACAAGAAGAAGAGCTAACGATCCTAAATATATATGGACCCAATACAGGAGCACCTAGATATATAAGGCAAGTTCTTAATGACTTACAAAGAGACTTAGACTCCCACACAATAATAGTGGGAGACTTTAACACTCCACTGTCAATATTAGACAGATCAACCAGACAGAAAATTAACAAGGATATCCAGGGCTTGAACTCAGACCTGGAAAAAGCAAACCGGATAGACATTTACAGAACTCTCCACCCCAAATCCACAGAATAGACATTCTTCTCAGCACCACATCACACCTACTCTAAAATTGACCACATAATTGGAAGTAAAGCACTCCTCAGAAAATGCAAAACAACTGAAATAATAACAAACAGTCTCTCAGACCATAGTGCAATCAAGTTAGAACTCAGAATTCAGAAACTAACCCAGAACCACACAGCTTCATGGAAACTGAACAACTGGCTCTTGAATGTTGACTGGATAAACAATGAAATGAAGGCAGAAATAAAGAAGTTCTTCAAAACCAACGAGAATGAAGACACAACATACCAGAATCTCTGGAACACATTTAAAGCAGTCTCTAGAGGAAAATATATAGCAATAAGTGCCCACATGAGACGAGTGGAGAGATCCAAAATTGACACCCTATCATCAAAATTGAAAGAGCTAGAGGAACAAGATAAAAAAAACCCTTCAAAACCTAGCAGAAGACAAGAAATAACTAAGATCAGAGCAGAACTGAAGGAGATAGAGACACGAAAAACCCTTCAAAAAATCAATGAATCCAAGAGCTGGTTTTTTGAAAAGATCAACAAAATAGACAGACCACTAGCCAGACTGATAAAAAAGAAAAACGAGAACAACCAAATAGATGCAATAAAAAACGATCAAGGGGAAATCACCACAGATTCCACAGAAATTCAAACCATCATCAGAGAATATTACAAACAACTCTATGCACATAAACTAGTAAACCTGGAAGAAATGGATAAATTCCTGGACTCCTGTGTCCTCCCAAGCCTAAACCAGGAGGAAGCCAAAACTGTGAATAGACCAATAACAAGGTCTGAAGTCGAGGCAGCAATTAAGAGCCTATCACTCAAAAAAAGCCCAGGTCCAGATGGGTTCACAACCGAATTCTACCAGACACACAAAGAGGAGCTGGTACCATTCCTTCTGAAACTCTTCCAAATAATCCAAAAAGAGGGAATTTTTCCCAAATTATTTTATGAGACCAACATCATCCTGATACCAAAATCCGGCAGAGACTCAACAAGAAAAGAAAACTTTAGGCCAATATCCATGATGAACACAGATGCAAAATCTTCAATAAAATATTGGCAAGCCGATTGCAACAGCACATCAAAAAACTTATCCATCACGATCAAGTAGGATTCATACCAGAAATGCAAGGCTGGTTCAACATATGCAAGTCTATAAACGTAATTCACCACATAAACAGAACCAAAAACAAAAACCACATGATTATCTCAATTGACGCAGAGAAGGCATTTGACAAAATCCAACAGACTTTTATGCTAAAAACCCTCAGTAAACTCGGTATTGATGGAACGTATCTCAAAGTAATAAAAGCTATTTACGACAAACCAACAGCCAATATCATACTGAATGGGCAAAAACTGGAAGCATTCCCTTTGAAATCCAGCACTAGACAAGGATGCCCTCTTTCACCACTCCTATTCAATATAGTACTGGAAGTTCTAGCCAGAGCAATCAAGCAAGAAAAAGAAATAAAGGGTATTCAAATAGGAAAGGTGGAAGCCAAATTGTCTCTATTTGCAGGTGACATGATTGTATATCTAGAAGACCCCATCGCCTCAGCCCAAAAACTTCTGAAACCGATAAGCAACTTCAGCAAAGTCTCAGGATATAAAATCAATGTGCAAAAATCACAAGCATTCATCTACACCAATAACAGACTTAAAGAGAGCCAAATCAAGAACGAACTGCCATTCACAATTGCTACAAAAAGAATAAAATACCTAGGAATAAAAACTCATAAGGAACGTAAGGGACATCTTCAAGGAAAACTACAAACCACTGCTCAACGAAATAAGAGAGGACACAAACAGATGAAGAAACATTCCATGTTTATGGTTAGAAAGAATCAATATCATGGAAATGGCTATACTGCCCAAAGTAATTTACAGAATCAACGCTATCCCCATCAAGCTATTATTGACTTTCTTCACAGAACTGGAAAAAACCA